GAAATGAAATAAAACACGAACCGCAATTTAAATATAATGTATAAATTATATGTCAACCTACTAAGCCGGGAATTTGAGGACTGTTTGATTGTTTATAATGAAAACCATTAACGGACGGTTGTTGATTAATGTTTGAACTAACAGGCCGACTCGGTTCGTTTAATAAATAAAACTCAATTAAATCTGATTTTCTGCCGTTAAAAATAATCTATTCATCGAAACGACATACAAAGCAGAGTTAATTAATTTAACTCAGTTTTTGTCACCACTGTAAAGATAAACTTTGTCTGTATTGACTATAGGGGGTAATTGTTTACAGATTTTATTCATTATCTTTTGGGTAAATCTCGCTTACACGCACCCTTAATATAATGAACAGAACTGGCAAGTCAGACACGTAACGTTTCCTTATTGCTTTGTATTCCCCCCTATATTTACATTTTAATCAGATAACAACCCAACCAACTCCTCTGAAGTATAATTGGATAGAGGTCACACACTTCGATCATTTTAACCTAATCTTCTAAATTGGGGACAATCTCTATTGGATTATAAAATTTATATCAAGATAAAGAATTTTAAAAATTTGTAATAATATGATTTCTCCGAAAAACCACAAAAGCATCTCTGGTTTTGTATATTCCAATCCTTCACTAAGCAACTATCGAGTGCATCAAAGAGTTCTACAATGCGAAAAACAGAAATTAAGTTTATGGAAATTAAGAAAATGTGGTAAACTAAATTGTGTTCCAGATTACACACAAAATATAACATTATTGGATAAATGCGATATGTAGTTGGTAAATATTAAAGTAATTTACTTAAAGTTGATATGTTCCTTCAACTTACATCATTTTAATGATAAATGTTAAATATTGTAACTTCCGTGTTATCTTATCATTACCTTGTTTTGACAAACCTAATGAAAAAGCAGAATTATAAACCAACTTTTCCTCGAAAGCTATCAACATGGGTTCTGAATTTTTCCTCCTGATAGTGATATTGTAAGAAAATATAGCAGAAACAGTTTTCACAGGCGATGTCATTTGTGCAGTACATAACAATATCTCAAAATGAGTGTACTCAGAAAAATATTTCCACCTCTATGTTGTTTGAGTGACAGATCACCACAAATTTGCCTTAAGCCACTACCTGAATGGCTGACCTCAAGATTATTGCACCACTCAAAATAAATATACACAGCATTACCACCGTGTGGGACAAACCATGATATAACTTCCCATAAGCCGCATCATGTGAGTAGAGGTTTTAGAAACACGTAATCACGTTTTGAAGGTTAAACTATCAGTTTAAAGTTATGATATATCATTTGAAAGTTTGATATGCTGTATCTAAGATAAGATATATTTTTTGAAGTTTAGCCCGGCGTTCTAGAAGTATAAAACGTCATTTTAGGGTTTAAGATGACATTTTAGAAGCATATAAGGTCAGTCTGATGTGTAAGGTCTTATTTTGATGATTGGAAAGACGTTTTAGGTGTATATTAGTGTCATTTTAATGGGATATACTAAATGGAAATAAGGAGGAGGGAGTAGAGCGGGGATTCACTTACACCGGGGCACGGGGGGCATCAGTGATCGGCTATGCAATGGCAAACCAAGGTTGGTAGAATCGGATCACCAACCTTAAGAAGTGTGCATAAAGGGATCGGGGGGAAGAGAGAACAGAAAGATGATGGAACACAATGGGATCACATTAGGGTAGATTGGTCGAGAGAAGGCATAGAACATTATAGGGGAAAGTTGGCAAGCTGGGGCCAGAGGGTGGAGGGGACCTACGGGTGAAATGAACTGATTGAGGTGGTTAGGGAGGCGACGTTGAAGAAAGAAAGTGGACGCAGGGGGGTTAGGCTGAGAAGGAACGAATGGTGGGATAGCATCAGAAATTGCCAATCCAGCTACCCGTTGAATTCGTGAAAGTTTACTGATAACTAAAGTCTGCCAGACTTTCCTATACCAGGCTGCTGCTCCGTATGTGATCATAGGTCTAACCACAGTCACATAGAGCCAGTACAGTCTTTCAGAGGTAAGACCCCAATTTTTTTCCACAAAGACTGCGACAAGTCCATAAGGATAGTCTAGCTTTGTGCAAAATTCCCTGCAAATGTCCATTCCATGCCTAGGTTTTGTCTATGATTACTCCTAGATATTTGACTTCCTTTGAGAAAGGAATTTCTTCACCTTGGATAGTTGGGCGGATTAGTACATCCAACTTTCGTTTCCTGGTGAAAGGCACTACAATTGTCTTTTGCGGGTTTATCGAGAGGTTCTCTCCCTTACATCAAGCGCAAATGGTATCTAAGGTCACCTGGAGGACTTTAGATATCCTCGACAAACAGGTTCCTTTGACCATAACGACAATTTCATGAGTATAAGCTTGTATTTCTACAATAACGGCGTCGACTGTCGCAATCAAATCAACCAGGAAGGAACAAAGCAGGGGAGATAACACTCCTCCCTGCGGGCAGCCACCTCCCGGCTTGAAGCGTATCGTGTCACCGTGGAGTGAAGTAGAAACGATTCTACTATCAAGCATATTGCGGATCCAACCCGCTATAATTGCTTCCACTCCTCTGTCAAGAGCAGTTCTTTCAAGAGATAATGATATTGCGTTGTTGAACGCTCCCTCTATATCCAGAAACGCACAAACCACGATTTCTTTATCTTGCAGCGTCCTGGATACTCTACCAACTAAGTTGTGTAGAGCCAATTCTGCTGATACCAATGGCACCGTACGGATATACCGTTCCAGAACTTTTTCAAGGGTTTTCAACAGAAATAACGTTAGGCAGATGGGTCAAAAGGCATTACGAGTAGAGACCGAACGACCCGCTTTGGTCCATTCTATCGGTGCATATTTCCAGGCGACACTCGCTCTGAAAATTCTTTTTACTAAAATTGGCTACAACAGTAACCTTCCTTGCTGTAACAAAGCAGGAAAGATATTGACTTCTCCAGGCGATTTGATCGGCTTAAACGCTTAATCGCCGCCCAGGGGTAGTGCCGGATTTCTAACGAGAATCTTGTGAATTCTTGCACTGCTGGGTGTGTCTTTCACTTCCTCACAGAACCTCCTCCAAGACTCTCTTTTTGCCTTCCGTATGTTTTTGGTGTAATGCGTTAGAGCTTGTTTATATAACTCCCATTAACCTAATGTCGTCGCCCGGTTAAAAAGCCTCCGGACCTCTTGTTTTTCGGAGCTAAGAGATTCGTTCCACCAGGGTGTGCCCCGATTATTACTTTTTACCTTCAGTGGACTGTTACTGTGATAAGCAGAACGAATTGCTACAGAGATCTGCTCCGTGGCTATTTCAATCTGATCACATTTCCTAACGGTAGCGATGACACTAGTTAGGTTATCTGCAAGGCAACTCTTAAACAGATTAGTGCTACGGGGATTACGGTCGTACAGTCCGATTTCATCCCTAGATCAATTTTAAATTGAATATGCTTATGATCTGAACACGACGATTCAGAGGATACCCTCCAGGAGGTTATCTTGGAGCTCAATATAATTGAGCTGCACGTAACGTCAAGTACCTCTACTCTATTTCTGGTAACAAAGGTTGGTTAGGAAAATTAGGAAATTTACACATGGGGATACTTAAAGAGGATGAGGAAGGGAAGGGAGGATGTCAGTAGAAATATACAAACGACGGAATGGAGAACCTACTTCATGGAATTGTTGGGAGGGGTGGAAGAGAGGAGAATAGGAGAGGCAGAGCGAGGGATGCAAGGGGAGAGAAGATAACACTAGAAGAAGTAGAAGCAGTGTTGAGGGGACTGAAGAAGATGCAGAATGAGCCATGGTTGGAGGTGACGGAGACAGTGAAGAAGAAGCTATAGAAGGTAAGAAGGTAGAGGATGGAAATAACATGCTCACTGTATAAATAGGGAGAAGAAGGCTGGGAGAAGAGCAGTGAAGTACGAGGAAATGATAGAAGGAAGACCGCATTGCAGGATCTTGGGAGAGTGCTGGAGAGAAATTAAGGAGAGGAGACTGATATATGGGCAGGGAGATAGGGAAGGATATTATTGAAGACTGGGATATTCACTAACTGGGATCGACAACAGAAGAGTGGAGAGAGGTGAAATATGGAGAGAACTGAGAGATAGGGATAGGGACATACAGATGCAGGAAAGAAGGTATAATATAAGGTATGAGGAGATAGTGACAGAGGAACTGCTAAAGTATCTGTTGATGGACGGGGATCATGAAGGAATAGATAGGTGGCCAGATTCCCCTGAGGCAATGAGGAGAGAGGTAACAAAGAGGTTTTACTGTATTGATTTGTGTTAATGATATAAGTGTATGCTGATGAGGGTAAAACTTTATCAAATTTTGAGGGTTTAAAATAGACTAATCGAAACAATCGTAATAAACAGTCAGCACTCGGTTACCGGACGTTACAATGGAACGTCGTTAATCGTTCCCCGCAGCATAGCTCCGACTTAACGACGCGCTTACAAAGGAATAAGGTCCAAAGCTTCTCCGCATTAATTTGCTAAAGCACGTTCGGCGAATAAAGCTTTGAAATCGCGTTCCATAAGTCATTTACGACCCGAAAATCTATTGAAATACTTGTATATTGCAAGGAGCGGACGTCCTGCAACATTCCTTTAATTATCATTAATTAACGCGACTTGGTCGCGGACCCTTAAAATTTCCCGTTTATTATTATCTTCACTTGCCATGCCCCTCTCGATACGAAGGAAAAGTGGATGGGTAGTTCCAATGAGTGAGGGGGGGTCGGTGTTGAGATAAGGGGAAGCCCCTGGCACGACAAACAAACGGCAACAAACACTTGTAATTTATACAATAACTTTCTGTACCGGGGAAAAATGAGCGAAACCCCGCGGTATAGATCTGGTTCAGTGCGCAACCTCGTAGGGTCGGAAAATGGTTTGCGAGGTCCCCGTGTAACGTTGGAGGCGCTGCCGGCAGTCTCGGTCCCAGAGCGACCCGAACCTGTCATTCCTAAAGTCCACGGCCGAACCGCCGCATCGCGACGCCGACGCCGATACCAAACGTCACGGTCATGTTCTCGCTTGCTTGAAATGCAGTTTTCGCGCGAACTATCCCAAAATGTACTGTTCTCTTTGCGTTGCCGTAAGTTTCTAGAGTGACGACCCCGTTGAAAATGTGATTGTGCGAGCCGATCAGGAAGAACGTGCTCTAGCCAGTTAAAGTTTAGAAATTTATCGTTGTTTATTGTTGTAACCATGTGGATTCTACTCTACTTTACGATATTAGGGACATACACAGGTAGGGACAATTGCTTTTATTGTACATGTTTGAATTGTAAATGCGGAAGGAGCGTCTCTTGCGTTATTACGTATTCAAAAACTACTACTTCCGTTTTATATATCTTGTTTCATCTTTCAAAACTAAATCCATTACTGACATGTATCGGCTTATGTTATCCTTTCCTTGTCATATCCTCCTCACTATTCTCATTTTATTCTAGTTGTTGAAACTCTTTTCATAAAGTGAATAACTTTGACCCTAGTTATCTTATCATTTTAGTCCAAAGTTTGTTATTGTAATAATTTTGAAATTGTGTTGATAAATTTTGTTCCCAATTATAATTAGGTTTCGGTGTTGTCACAACTATAATTAAATCATCTCCTCGAATGCCCGAAACCCGTTTCATATCTTTTATTAGATTTTTTTCTTCACCTATTATTTGATTTGTGGTTTTTGTCCCACAAAAACTTTCATCCCTTATAACAAAATTATAACTTATGAATTGATTATTGAATTTTTTCTTCAACATAAATGCCGTTTAAAACTTTTCATGCATAAAATTTCATGATGATTACCCCAAGGAACGGCGTGCATATTGATATAGTTTTCGGTTCAATTATGACCCTTAATGGCAACTTTCCTAATGACTCCACAATTAAAATTTCTTTGCCGTGGCGCGCCGCTACTCTGGTGGTTTTCGCGGAATAAAAAACTTTTAATGCATAATTATTCAAAGCGCGGAAAGTCAGGAATGGGCCCACTTTAATTACTGCTGGGCGTCACTCGGTCGGCTCACTAAACTTTTTGCCTATGTTCTTCCTTTTTACACACGCCATTGCCCCGGTTCCTCGTTAATTGCACGCGTTAGCAGCGGAGAAACGAACTTATTCTTCTAATAACGTTAAATTTGCCGCGCGCTGGTTGGCTGTTTACTCGAAAATCCGGAACAATGCATGTTATTATATTGTATACATTTATACTTGCTTTTAGTTCCGCATTACTGTTTAATATAATGAAAATTTCATTTTAAACTCTGCAGTTGCTTGTGTAAATGGAAGTTTGGAGATTTGATATAGTTTTTAGTTGAACAATTTTAATCACTTTATCGAATATTTTGTTGGTTATTTATGCGATTCGTTTTGAAAACCGCAATATAATAAATTTGTATCATGTTATTTTTAAGCCATTTAAAATACAGTCAAACCTCACAGTAATTATTATTCAACTTTAGATTGTTATATACTTTTATTGAACGAAAAGTAGAACTAACACTAGACCTAGAACTAGAAACATTCTGGTTTAGCCACAAATCTCTTAAGACGGTCAAACCTGAATGTTTCTAGTTCTAGGTCTAGTGTTGGTTCTACCTTTAGTTCAATGAAAATGTACAACAATCTAACGCTGAGTAACAATTAAAACTAGAACTAACACTAGACCTAGAAACATTTGCGTTTAACCGTGCGTCTTTCCGTCTTCCCAAAACTTTCTTGTTCTAGGTATAGTGTTAGTTCTAGTTTTAGTTCGATGAAAAATATATAAGAATCTATCACTGAATAGGACTAGAACTAGAAACATTCGGAATTAGTCATCTTAAGAGACGTACGGCTAAACCCGAATATTTCTAGTTGTAGGACTATGTACTATCCGTGCAAAACGTCAAGGCCCCTCACTTTAGAGATCGATATCTTGGTAACCGCTCGATGGAAAAAATTGCGGTAAAGTTTATTGTAATCAGTGAACATTTCTACTTTTCTTAGTTCTAGTGTTGGTTCAAGTGATCTAATACTAACACAATCATTAGCACGAACACCAGACCTGAAACTAGAATCATTCGTATTTAGCCGTGCGTCTGTTAAGACGGCTAAACCCGAATTTTTCTAGTTCTAGTATTGGTTCTAGTGATCTAATACTAATTTAAAAAGGGCCATGATGCAAGAACCATTAAATAAAACTCTTATAGCCATTATTTTCTTTTCAATCTGGTTTGTCGTCAATTAAACGCATATAAATGTATGTGTTTGTTTATAAATTGGACCAAAGTATATTAACAATCTGTAAATGATGTACATCGATTTTCTTTGATATTGACTATTTGGCTGACAATGATCGAAAAGGGTTCCAAGTATATCTATTTTTATCTAAACAGAGGCCAGTGATGTAAAATTACGGTAATTTATAGTTTGTGTAAATTACTGTTGTAAATTACGGTTTTTTTTTTCTCAAAATTTATTCTCGCGTAATTTCAGAATTTTTTTGATAAATTATTGCTGTAACATTTTTATTATTTTGATTCAAGGACAGTAGAATCTAACTTGATTTTGATTAAATAAAACCTTTATACAAACTGCAAGGGAACATTTAAAATAAACTGTGTAACAAAAACTCTAAATATGAATTCTATGTAATTCAAACAAATAATTCAGAAAAGCTTCTTTCTGTTGCGCACGTTGTTGGTTGCTTGAAGATGTAGTGCAACAAAGAGACTTTCACCATATAACAGAATGTAGCTCACCCGTATCCAAAGCTTTCCATATGAAACCGTTAGAAAATAATTGTTCTTTTGATTTATAATAGGCAATTTCAGTCATAACTTTCGCTACATTAGATCTATTAACCAGAAGCGGCGATAATTTATTGATATATGTCAATGCTGCAATGTACTCGTCGTTACTGAGATGTTTTCCCATAATTTTTGGATCTAGTAAATTTGCTGCTAAGTGTAAAGGTATTACAGCCCTATCTCTTCGTGCTTTTAAAAGTGATAGAATTGTTTTTATTTCTAAAACTGGGCATTTACTTTGTAGTTGATCATTAAAATTTTGCAAATAGTCAACAACATGAGAAATGTAAGGTTGGAAAGTTTGTACATTTTTTAAAATTACTGAAGTGGAATTTAAAATCGCGTTTAATATTTTCGTCTAGAATACTTGTTACAGTTTCTTCAGTTCACTTTATCGCATTATCAAAACACCGAAAGCGCATGCGCAGGTACATTCTAGTTCCTAGCGGTAATTTATGAAAAATTTGTTTGGTAATTTACAATAAATTACGGTAAATATTTTGGTAATTTACAAGGAAATTTACAAATTCACATCACTGATAGAGGCTATAACAGTTTTATTTAATTTCCTTAATATCTAATACTAACACTACCACTAGAACCAACACTAGATCTGGAACTAGAATCATTCGGGTTTAGCCGTGCGTCTTTTAAGACGGGTAAACCCGAATGTTTCTAGTTCTAGATCTAGTGTTAGGTCTACCTTTAGTTTCATAAAAATGTACAACAATCTAACGCTGAATAGCAATTAAAACTAGAACTAACACTAGCCCTAGAACTAGAAGGTTTCGGGTTTAGCCATACAAATAAAATCTAAGAACCAATATTAGACCCGGAACTAGAATCATTCGGGTTTAGCCGTGCGTCTCTTAAGACGGCTAAACCCGAATGTTTCTCATTCTAGGTCTAGGCTTGGTTCTAGTAATCTANCATGAGAAATGTAAGGTTGGAAAGTTTGTACATTTTTTAAAATTACTGAAGTGGAATTTAAAATCGCGTTTAATATTTTCGTCTAGAATACTTGTTACAGTTTCTTCAGTCCACTTTATCGCATTATCAAAACACCGAAAGCGCATGCGCAGGTACATTCTAGTTCCTACCGGTAATTTATGAAAAATTTGTTTGGTAATTTACGGTAAATATTTTAGTAATTTACAAGGTAATTTACAAATTCACATCACTGACAGAGGCTATAACAGTTTTATTTAATTTCCTTAATATCTAATACTAACACTACCACTAGAACCAACACTATATCTGGAACTAGAATCATTCGGGTTTAGCCGTGCGTCTCTTAAGACGGCTAAACCCGAATGTTTCTCATTCTAGGTCTAGGCTTGGTTCTAGTAATCTAATACTAAGACTATCACTAGAACCAACACTAGACCTGGAACAAGAATCATTCGGGTTTAGCCGTGCATCTCTTAAGACGGCTAAACCCGAATGTTTCTCGTTCTAGGTCTAGTGTTGGTTCTACCTTTAGTTCAATGAAAATGTACAACAATCTAACGCTGAGTAACAATTAAAACTAGAACTAACACTAGACCTAGAAACATTTGCGTTTAACCGTGCGTCTTTCCGTCTTCCCAAAACTTTCTTGTTCTAGGTATAGTGTTAGTTCTAGTTTTAGTTCGATGAAAAATATATAAGAATCTATCACTGAATAGGACTAGAACTAGAAACATTCGGAATTAGTCATCTTAAGAGACGTACGGCTAAACCCGAATATTTCTAGTTGTAGGACTATGTACTATCCGTGCAAAACGTCAAGGCCCCTCACTTTAGAGATCGATTTCTTGGTAACCGCTCGATGGACAAAATTGCGGTAAAGTTTATTGTAATCAGTGAACATTTCTGCGTATCACAAGTTAATTTGAAAATTTTAGGGCACGCGGTTTTTCTTTTATCGCGAGTTAAGTGAAAAAACTACCCGATTTTTAAGAGTGTCAGCAACTTTGTCTACTTTGTGATTTTTTTCTCCAAAACTATTTGATGAAAAAATTCAATTGAAATTTGAACTGGTGGTAAAGCGATGTGTTCTCAATGTGGGGCATATTTTATTTTTTCGATATTCCATATAGTTTCGCGGAAAATCGCGGTTTAGTAGGATGTGGTTATTTCGAAAACGACCTGGCGGATTGCAACGCGGTTTTTACCAAATTATGTCAAATAATGTCGGTTGTCAGATTTCGTTATCAGTTTTTCAAAATTAGGGCTTCCTAATTTTTTAAGAGCGATTTAATGGAATTATAAATTAAAGAGAAACAGAAATAAGTTCTGCGGTTAGAGGAGGGTTCCGTTCAAGCCTTATTTCTTTATGTAGGTAAGATAACGGCGCGACGTACTGTCTGGGACATACCATCTATTCCGATTGGACGGAAACCCCGTCACCCCGCAGAACTTATTTCTGTTTCTCTTTAAATTTTAATTCCATTAAATCGCTCTTCAAAAATTAGGG